ACACTCAGAGAAAAGAGAGAAATAACAAATTTAAACATTCACTCTGGGTTTACTAAAATCTTCGCATAAAACCGAAGTATTCCCAAGTGGCCAGTAAGGCTTTAATTCTGTAATTATTTCTACATCTGAACTAGCACTTCTGATGAATTTCAGAAGTATATTTTTTCCCCTTCTCGACATTTTCAGTTCTGCTGAATTTTCATCCTAAAATGATGCTTCAGTTGATCATTCATTTCTTTCACCAGTAATAATCCTGCCTCGCTTTCCCATTCATACCAGCTTGGTTACAGACACTGAAGGCCACGCAGAGCCTCCTCCTCACTCGCCGCCAGGCTGCATTCCCCACAGTCTGTATGCTCTCATTTTCTATGCATTTCCAGATCTAAAACCTTCTGTTTTCTTTCCTTTGTTTGCTCTTGGCAGCTATTGGCAGGAGACATCCTCTTAATGATCTTTTTCTGGCCTTCTAGACGACTGCTCAGACTTCTACAGATCTTTCATTATTAACGCAGAAGCCTTGTAAGTCAGTTTTAATGGCCTGTGCAATTTTTATTCCTTAGCAGGAGACATAACCTCCTCCATATGGATGTTTATTAATATAAATCCTTGATATCATTTTTCCTAGTAAGAATCATCAGTAAAAGCCAACTGGCGTGTATTACACCTTGTACTGGTTCATCCAAAAATCAAAGAGCAGTCTTTGCCCCGCACTATATGGAGCACAGCAGAGCAAAGCAGCAGCTTTTCCCTGAGGTTGCCTAGGCACCAACAACAGTGAGGTTTCTCTGCATGGTCCTGCCATTCCCCTCTACACAGAGGCTGCACCCTAGCCACTTTCATGTCTCCAGCCTGGGAGTCATTACCTGGTTTCAGCCCCTTCCTGGAGATATTCCTGGGATATCTCCAATCTCTGTTTCCATTCTGACAGGCCTTAAAAGAAGGATGGGTTGTTCATGTTTAGGGACATGTAACAAATAGCAACAAACCCATGTTTTGCCTGTGACTAGACAAATGGCTGTTAGTGCTCAGCCTTCATTACCAACACATCCTTGCTGATGGTGTCAACTGGGAGACTTGGAAAACAGGACAAAAATATGCTGTTTATTTATAAAGAAAGTATTCTGGTTTCTTTCCTATAACCAAGGAGCAATTACCCATTTATTCCATTAAACGTTTTCCTGCTGTACAAAATGATCCCCATTTTTCTTTTAAATACACCCATTAAGTCTCAAGATGGAGTTAAACAATAACACATCTCAAAAGAAACACAAGCCATTCCCAGTGCTGTTAGGTGAGATTTCCATCCCTCCAGTTAAGCAAGAATAGTTTTCTCCTGTCTTTTACAACTCCCATCTGTACGAGGAGATGACTTCTGTTCAGCAAATCACACAAAAGTTGGTGTTACCCCTTCTTTAGCCATGATTTCCATCTTTCCTCGTTTACTATGTGTCATCTAAGTTTGGCAGTACAAAAGGAAAGAGAGACACTCCTGTGCATCAAAACACAAACAGTACCGGAATATTTGTGACACTGATGCCAGTATTAGTCCTGCTGGAATCTCAAAGCTGTGCTTCATTTTTCCTTTTCGTTTTTTGAAACTAGGTAGCCCATAAAAAAGTTTAATCATGGCAACACAGCCCATTCTACTTATCTTTATGGTTAAACTATGGTTAGTAGCAATCCACCAAACTTAATGGGCAAAGTTTATGCTCACAGATGCTAAATTTTACAGTACGGACCAGACCAGCAAGGCCACAAATTAATCTCCAGTGTCATAAGAATTTCACTGCACACATGTAGAGATCATCTGTCAACAAAGTGAGCAATATGACTGTCAGGTCCAGCAAAAGCATTAAATGCACACTTAGCCTCCAAATTGTGCTCTGTGACATAGCTGGGTCCTTCATTACACCCCACCACGCCACACAGGCTGGATTACAGTGTAAAAAGAAACAAATTCCCCAGACCACAGCACAACTAGAGCTTCAATCCAATCTTAAATTGTAGTTATTGAATGAAAACAACCAACCAGGCTTAGCTTAACCAGAGCAAACCAGTTTGGACTGATGAAAGAGACTGGAAGTGACAGCTGGAGCTTCACATATAACCTGCAGCATCACCCTGTAAGTGACATTACTGGAAGGACGGGAGTTTAAAGAGCAAGTATCTTTCAACAAAGTATATTGCTGAATCAAGAAACTGTTTCCAATTGCTTTTCAGTTTCCAAGCTTGGTTAAGAATTCCACATTTTACCGAAATGAGGAAGAATCTGCTATAGAACTGAAGTCAGTTTTGCTAGAACAAAATCCAACATAAAATAAAATACTACACAACACAGCATGATATAGTAAAGAGGTGCATAAAACTGAGCAGATCTGCTCTTTTGCATACTGTCAGAGCTCAAAGTTGGCATCAAACACTGTGTTGAGAATGACTTGATTTTGATCTATCAGCTCATATAAGCCAGACTGCAGCTCACCCTGCTACACTTAGAACAGATATGATTAAAAACGATCAGCTATATTAGGCAAAAATATATTTCCCTAGGCAAACATTCACTTCAATGTATTTTTCTCCAGCTATAACACACAGAAATTCTATGTATATAAAAACCTTCTGGGTTTTACAGACATTAGCATTCAGCTGAAACACAGGGAAAGCCTGCAAGGGAAACTGCATAAATTAGATGCAGGCACTATAATGATTTTATTTCCCTCGGCGTAATTCCCTGCCTGCTACGTGAACTCCAGCTGAATAATCTCTCCATGGGCCCCAGGTATGTCATTTGAAATAATCACAGCAACAGTTGCTGGTGCTTTCTCCATCCTGAAGGACAGGTGAACCATGAGCAGAATTGCATTCTGCCTCTTCCTTTCAGCATTCAACTGAAGGGTAAATAAAAACACTTGCAGTTTCTCAGATGAAAAGCACAGTGTGAGCAAAGTCAAAGGAAGGACCAGATAAGCTTAGACTGCATAGAACCAATCCTGATTTTCTGAGGAAGTATTTCTGGGCATATAGAAACATGCTGATTTATTGTAACAGAAACATCTCCTCGAGATTTAACACTTTTCAAAGAAGGAAATCCCCATGGAAACCTGCCTGCCTTCCCAGCAGCTCGGGAGCACTGCAGTGCACACGCTGCAGGTCAGAAGCGTGCCACAGAGTGACTCCTGCCTGATGGCTGGGGACATGCAAGTCACAGGGGCCTGTGGGAGACAACAAGGCTCTTGTCAGTAGCCAGGCTCTTGTGGCTCATCCTGGGGCTTCCGACTCCATCTGTTTCTGCTTCCTTGAAACCCCAGGTTGATTGCTGTGCTCAGTGCTTCCAGAATCTACCTTGCTTCTTAAAGACAGCATTTCAAAACTAGCTCAGCAAGAAGTTTTAGCGCTTTCCTGGCCAGCAGAAACATCAAACCCCAACCCTGGCACCACTTGTTACAAGGTAAATGTTATTTTAGAAATTCCAGTGGAAAGAAAACATCCTCCTCTAAGATTGCCTCTAGTATCTAGGGAATTTTATCTGTGGTGTGGCAAAGAGAACAAAAACCTGAGAATTAAGAACTAATGTTAAATCCTTGCAGAGCCTTAGGCAAATTCCATAATCTCTCTGCCATAGCACTGAGGATCAATACACAACTGCTGAAACCTGACTGCTCAATGAGGTTGGTCCATCTACTGACAGTGGATACTGGACAAAACCATATTTAATGAAGAAAAATCAGTAAAGCCATGTAAAGGCAAGAAGGTTGGATTTATAGGAAGACCCTTCCTGACCCAAACCTTTTAAAGTCTAGTTAAACTCCATGATTTTTCTCACATATTTCCCCCCAGGCCTGAGTAGCGCTTAGGATACTGTGGACCACTTCCTTCCCTCTGCTTGTGCACTGTGCCACGAACCACTTGTCCTAATTCATGCACCAATTTGCAGGTTTATTAATATGCATGTGCTTCTTCATAAACATTGAACGATTTCCAAGTGCTGCATAAAGTTTGCTGTCTGTTTTCTCAACATCTGTCCCCAAAGTGCACTTCTATCATGTGCTGCTCCCATCATTTTCAGATCAAAAAGTTAGAAGAAAGCCATGAATTTATTTGAGGTGTGCTAGCAAAGGCTGCAACTCCTTCTTTCCCAAGCATCTTGCAGTCTCTCTGTGTATGACACATTCCAATTACCTTTTGGCCCTTCTATACCCCCAGTCTGGCTCATATTTCTCTCTGAATTTGGTCTCTATGCAGCTCTGAACCCACAGCCTGACAGCTAAGGACGTAACAAATATACAGCACTAACCCTCAGGGTGGTTAGAAATGCCTGAATTCTCCTATTACAGTCAGATTCACAAGTAAAGGTCAGTAGAAAGTCTCAAAGCTTAGAACATAAATGGCCCATGCAACAAGCAGTCAGAAGCTTGAGGAAGGATGGGCTGTCTTACAGAATGAAAAACGAAGACGACTTGCAAAGTTTGAATCCAAATCCTGGCTCTGCCAGAGACTTCCTACGCGAGCTGAGGCACGTCTTTTTTTCTCACCTCTCAGCTCCCTCTGTACAATGCAACAAAATAGTTCCTCACCACATATGACCTTGTGTAAGATGTACCCCGTGTACTCTGGAAAGATGGTAAGAAAGTTGGTAAAAGGAGAGGAAGCTTCACCAAAGAACTGGAAAACCCTCCTGCAAACTGTCTAGCAAAATGGATCACAACAGTTACCCTGGCTGACTTACAGAGGCAGAATTTAAGAGGCAGAACTATGACTAGAAGCAAACAGAATTAAAACAAAGAATAAACACACAAACATTTATAGCTCGCACTTTAAAATCAATTCCCATGTTCCAAAAAGTGCCATCCACACAGATAAATCAAAACTATTTATCATTTTCCCCAGTTGTAAAGGAAATGCTCTCCGAGAAACCCTGAATATAATAAAAAAAATTACATCTGAACACGGATTTGTCCCTATCAGTGGATTGTTCAGCACAGAACACTTGAAAATTCTCTTACCTTAATACAAACTGGTCTGCCAGCGAGTCCTCAGCCAGGGCAACATGAAAGGTCACAACGTCACCTTCTCTGACTGGGTTGAGTGGTAAGCGAATAACAATATTTTCATCCAGCCTCAGTGAAGACTGTTTTAATTCATCTTGATTTGGGTAAACAACAATGCTACCAATCCTCTCCATAGTTGACAAAGCCTTCTGTTCATTATCTTGACCTGCATGGATATTGTTTTCCCATTTTTCATCCTCTGGAGAACATTCCCCATCTGCTGTATAAATCTTGTAGAAGAGCTCCACAGTAATCCCTTCCAGGGAGGCTGCTTCCTCTGAAACCAGTGGTGGAGGGGAGCTGAACCAGGTAGAAGATAATTCCAGCTCTGCAACACATAATCCCAGATGACCTGTCAGCCTACAGCTGGCCACAACTTCTCTAGATTCCAGGAGAGCAAACATCTTCACACAAGGCAACACCTCCTCAGAATTATAGTCATCCCAGTCCTTCCCCACAATATAGAATAAGGTTTGTATTTTAGGTTTGTTGGAATAGATTGAGCTGTTGATTATGTGAGATTTTAATTTCCAATTAAAAGTGAATTGATTTGAGAAACCAAAAGATGCAGAAGTCAGCATGAGGTCCAAGGGAACAGCCTGTTCAACAGAAAAGGGTCCATAGGTGGCATTTAGGACAGGTGGCAGTTTGGCTTTGTATATAAAGAATGAATCCACCCTAGACTGCAAACTGGAGTTCCTCATGATATCCTGGTTGGCTTCTTTGAGGAAGAAGAAACTATCAGCATTGCAGATGTGATAGCTTGCAGGGAGGTACGTCGGCAGGTTTGAAAATCTCTGTATGCTGTCCATGATCCCTCCTCGACTCTCCACCACTGCAGGCCAAAGGAAACAGAAAGACAACTCTAATGTTTGTTTAGCACACACCTCAGTTTTCCTCAAAAGCAATGTATTCCCAGAGATCAATACTGCTAGCCACAATTACAGAACAACCTGACACACGTACCATGGAATAACACTGTTGGCTCAAAGGCCATACACTGAAAACATCCCATTGCATCAGCTGTAAACTCCCTTTCTACCTTCCCCAATCTATGATCTATTTGAAAGCCATTAATCAAGACTGTATAAAACAAGGAGATTTATTGGCCAGATCCCAGTCAAGTTTCAAAACCTCTTACTGGTTGCTCCTTGTTCTTTTATTACCAGATCAAACTACAACTATTTCTCACCCATGTTTCAATACACATAAGAAACTAGCATACTGAATATTAATAAATCAGAACATCATCTTTAGCCTAACACCACTAGCACACAATGCCATGGGGGTTGTAAATCTGCATCACTCCCAATTTACTTTTGCCAGGTCAGCAGTTTGGAAGTTAGTGGCAAACTGATGAAGGCTTTGTGTTCTTGACACCCAAACTTTTCACACACACAAAAATGGGGTCTGATACAGGTCTCAGTGGGATGGATTTACAGGCGAGAGTGAACTTGAGAGAACGAGATAAATCCTTTTGCAGACGCTTAGAAAGATTTTCTGATTTAATTCTAGAGGAGAATGAAACACATTTGGAAACCACAAAAGTTTCTCTACAACACAATGGTCAATCCTCCAGCCAGCGCTGAGCAATTTTTCCTAGGCAAGAAAAGATTCCAGAGGGAGGGAGGGATCAAACGGACGTCTTTGGTTTGGGCCGGTCTCTAATTAATAGTGAGATATATTCAATCTGGGCTGCGATTCTACCAGAAAGAAATAGAGGGTCTTTCAAACTATCAATTCATATGCTCCCACAAAAAGCCCGTGAATGCAGCTCCAGGGACTGCCAGGGAAGAAATAAACAGAAACCAAATGAATTAAAATGAAGCAGTTCCATAATGCGCAGAGATAACAAAGGAACAATGACAGAGCCTAAGGTCAAAGCTCTTGTTGTCTCTTGCTGAAGCTTAGTGATGATTTTACTGTTCGTCAGGACTGGGGAGAGCAGATACACAACGCAGCAACTGCACAATTTCACCTGCTACAAGCCAGGTGATTCAGATACTTGCAGCCATAATTTAGCAGATAAAAGCTCTAATATTTAAGCTAACTTTTCAGGTTGTGTATTTTTAAAGCCTATACTTAGTGCAGACAGATTCTAGGGTGAATTTCATCCATTTGACTTTGCTCCACTCTTGTTCTCAGTTGAAATTCTGCTCATTTATTTTCAATGGCTTGCAATTATCTACACTCGTTTAAACGCTTATTTCATCACAATACTTCTGCCTTTACTTGTGCTCTATACTGAATTTTGTCAAGGTTTTTCTGCAGCCATTGGAATATTCTCTGTGGAAATCAGTAAATATGTAAAAAAATAAAAAAGCATTAAAATTCTCAGCAGAAAAGAGCATCAACAGTCACCTCTCTCACTGCTCCACATGGGGATCAGATCAGGGTTTCCTCTCAGCTTCACAAACAAATGCAGTTGCACAGCAGCTGCTGTGCAAACACTCCACCTGAGTGTCCTCTCATTTCTTATGCCATGCATAAACATTTCAGCCCATGTCTCATAACACACCAGTGCTGGCAACACCTTCCCCCAGCTGCACACAGCCACAGACCTGGGCACCCACTGAAATGCAGAAACACAGATGATGAGAAACTTCCTCCTCCCTTCCCAATGTGAGCACTGACGTGGGCCAGCTTGGTATGGCATCACACCTCACACAGGGGACAACCAGTTTTCTACTGGAGAAAATTAACTTTAGCCCTTCCCTTCCATAACTCTTTTCACCCAGAAGTGAGCGATGGGCATGTGGCACACTCCCTGGGTCCAGAGACCCCAGTTCTCTATAGGAAACTAGAAAGTGTTAGTAGTAATAAGCAACCCTGGAAGAAGACAGTAGTCCCTCTAGGCAAGAGGCTAACCAAGCTGCAAGCAGCGTAAGAGGCAGCAGGCACAGGTGAGAGAGACAGGACAGAAAGCAGTAGGTGCTGCATAGCTGAGATGGACACACTGCCTGTTAGCACCACAGCAACCCACAACAGGGATGGAGGCAAAGAGCAGAAGCTAGTGAGCACCATTTACCAGGAGTCAGGTAATGCCCCACCACTGCCTGCTGTGCTGCTCTGTGGGAGCCCCAGCGCTCTTATCCCACCACTGAATAACAAAGTGTTTGGGTAACACACTGCGGGTCAAACCTCATCCTGCTCATCTCCCTTGGAGAAGGGAGAAAAGAGAAGATCAATGTCAATTCTAGAACCAAAGTCACCAAAGCAGTGTTTTAGCAGCTCCAGTCCTGCTCCACTATTTATAGAGCACCTTGACACTGCATGGCTTGTGTGCTCTTGTACAACTCAGTCATTGAAAGTGAACTTCACTCCTGTGAAACCAGAGGCAGCAAGGAGAAAAGGAGTTGTTTCTTCAGCAAGGAGTCAAATGCAGACAAGCACCTTCCTGGATTAACTGTAGATAAACTGAACTACATTTGAAAGAAATACTTTTGAGAAACTGCATTTGTAATTAAAACTGTGTGGCCATAAAGAACGCAGAGCAGCAAGAGTAGCCTCCACTGCTGGGAGAAGAGCTAAAATCTGCCTTCTCCCCGGACACAGACTTAAACACTGACATGGTTCCTTGGCTTAAAGAGGAACCAAGAACAAGGCAAGGCTTAAATGCATTTGTGTTGACATTATAGGACTTTCCCTCTCCATCCTTTATGCAGGTATTTTCTCTCTCTCTCAAGCAGAGATTTACACAAAGTTTAAAAGGTACGTTTTTCCCTTTCCTCCATTCCATTACAGTGGCAACATTCAGAGCCTCTTCTCAGAACTGGCACGAGGGCTCGGATATCAGCCTGCTGTAACTCAAACAAAATGAGGCACAAATTTTGTCTGAAAGCTTATATGGGAAGCCATAAACACCAGAAGACAGGGCTGGGCTTTGTCCTAGAACCAGCCTGCAACAAAATATGATATCTGAATTTAGCAGCATTTATGACACTGAAGGTACATCTAAAAAGAAATACTTCATACGATGGCAGGCCAACACCCCACCTTTTTAATTCAGCACGTCAGCACCACAGCATCAATCACAAACAGGACACATTTGCAGCTTTCTGGTTTGCAACAAAGCAATTAATAAATCATCTGCTCCTTTAACAAGCATTCAAGCAAGATCAAAAGAGGGCAGAACGTTAGCTCAGAAGGTGGGTGAGTCCTAATTATGTAACAAAAGAGAGCAAGAGTTAAGGAAAAGTAATTGGAGGCCGAATGAGCATCCCCAGAGCCCAGTGCTGAAGAGTTTGTTTCTCATACTGTGGCATTGGAGGCACTGAGGGGAGACATATGGAAATAAGATGTTGTTGGACATGATTTGGGATATTTAACTTTAATTTCTAAAATAACTTTTACCTTGTAACAGGTTTTCAGGAGGTGCTTTGCTCCTTTTAAAACACTTACTTGGACTAGCCAAATACCAAGACGTCTAGAGCAACAACAGGTCAACTCGTAAAATCTCATCGCTCCCATTTTATGCCAAAGCCCCTTGCTCCAGTGTTGGGCAACAGCCTCATAGCCCAGTTCATCCTGCAAACAGAGTGCAGACGGAAAGGAAACATCCTTCTGATGTTTCTGAAAAGCATAAAATTATCCATCACCTTTGGTTTTAATCTCACTGGACCGTGGACTAATGCCACTAAAAGCAGCAGAGAACTAATGTGCATGCAAAGCCACAAGTGTAAGTCATGCTGTGTAATAAGAATCTGCTGTTCAGGTAACTCAAGATTCCATCCCAAGCTATATTTCTTAGATTTCACACATTTTAATAAGAAACAAACCAAGTATCCTACTAGAAGGCAGTGGTGGCAGTGGCAGATCAGCATTAAAGACTAATGCGTCTACGTTAAGCTGTAGCAAGAGGAAAGTCTTTAAAATTCATCATTTTGAAAGTAAAAAGGAAAATAACTTCTGTTGGAGCGTGAATCCAAATTTCACATCTAAACCTTCCCTCTACTTTAGCTAGCTACTTAACAGGAGCCAAGTCTTCCATAAGCCCTCGGTAATTCTGAAGCTGAAGGTGTGAGGAACAAGAAGTGTTTAAAATTGCAACTTTTTTGATACTCTTTTTCTCTGAAAACAAACAAGAAATTCAATCCTGCACCTGTGGAAAAACTGTGAAAATGCTCAAATTCAGCTTTCCTGCAGCATCATCAGAACTGTAGCATGAGATCATACAGACATTCCTCTTTGTAAAAGAGGAATCATTTCAAGTAATGTGGTGCCAGTAAGTACTATGATGTTATCCATGACTCATACAGAGGCAATCAATGGCTTGTCTGTATAGGAGAAAAATCACCAGCCCTTCCTACCAGCCCTCGCTGAAGACCATAAAGACCAAACTACACATGTACATTATTCCACTATAAAAAATGGCTCTATTCATAATAATTATTTTGCTCTGGAAATGCAGGCATTATCCCTGAATAAAAACACACTGTATCCCAGAATAGGGTGTCTACACAAGGAAAGCTATTCTGTAGCTGATAAATTATAGCAGAATAATTAATTCTGGACCAGCTGTGTAGGTCATTTTCTCTCATACATTCAAGGGGTAACCCCTGATGCTGTTTAGGGACCCCAGACATATGCAAGGTGATTTGGCCTAGCTACAGCTGGGAAAACTCTGACTCTTAATCCTGGCAGCAGGAAAATGAGGAGGATGATTACAGAGTGGAAATGTACCACGAGTTTAGACCTCATTTGAGCACTATGAGTAGGATAAGTTTGGGTTGAGTGAGAATTTAAGGAGCCCAGATGAACACCCGCCTCACACTCTCCCTGACTCATTCAAAATTTAATATAATATCCATGGAAGGAGGATGTCACTGTTTACTT